ACGGACAACCCTTCCTGGCGGCATCCACGACCACGGCGTAGCTGATGTCAAACCGGTATCAGAGTCAAAGACCTAAGGAAGAAAGAAAAAAAAAAAGAAATCTAATGGCTGCCAATACCTCCTACAATAACCGTATGAAGAAGGAGTTTTTAATTACTTAACCTAGGTGAAAAGAAAAGGGCTAAGAGTGATGCGTACAAATACATGACTTTCTGGAGAAAGAAGAGAATTCTAGGACTGTTTGCAATAATGGCCTCTAATACTGAGACGTTGGAAAGCAGGTGACGTGAGGCTAAAACCCAGGCTCGTTCATTTTAGCTGACAACCTGCAGGGCTGTGTGGATGCTCCACAGTCGATGTTTCATTATCTACGTGAAGAACCTTTAGTCGGATAGACGGACACGGAGAGACTTCTTTGCAAAAACCATTGACTTTTTTTCAACACGTGGGATGAGGGTGTGGGTGTTTTGTTTTTTAGTCTGTACAAGGGATTGTGTGTGCGTGAGCTGGGATGTGTGAATATGTGACAGTCCTATTTTCAAGGTATGGATGTTTGGTGATAACGTGTCAGCATGCCTAAAAGAGCACTGCAAGATTATTTTTGAAGAAATTTTATTTTATTAGATCTAACTCTTCATAGTGTGTAAATGTTAGAACATTTTAATAATATTTTAAAACTGGGCTTTCCCGGTATTTCGAAAAGAAATAATATATCTGTTAATGTTATTGGAATGCTGCTCAGCTCTCTGACCAGTGCTTACATTACGATTGTTGATAACTAACCAAAGTAGATGCCTGCAGAGACTTTAAAATGTAAAATAAAGATGTATGCTGCCCGTCAGCTATTCTCATTAGGAAAGTTAACTTATTTTACTCCATAATTATTATAGAAACTGTATAGATTAAAACCAGTATTGTACGTTTGTGCAATGCACTGTTATACAAGAATAGGTGTACAAAGCTAAAGAAAAGAGCGTGGTCACTGATGGTAGAATATAAGACTTGCAGGCTCTGAAGTCTGCAGAATTCAAGAAGAGAGATGCAAACCCAGTTTTATATGTTCATTCAGGACTCACGTGTCTCACCCAAAAGGAACCTGGGGCTATGGGGGAAAATGAAAGGAAGCCTGAAGACTGACTACCAAAACATGCAATATACTTACTCACTGTCTAAGTCTGTAGCATAACACGAACTGGATTCTCTGTCCTTTTTTAAATAGCATTTTGTAAAAGAAATGAATGTAGTCCCACAACTCCTCTGATTTGAAAGGAACACCTTGTATTTTTTATAGGCATCTCTTATCCACTGTGACTTTCTTTTAAACTGGGCTCTGTGACTGCAGAGTTTAGAATGTAGAAATGAAATGCTTAGCTTTGCCTTTTCTTGGGGGTGTGGACCCTGCCAGAAATGTAATTATGCTCAAGTGCATTAATTGAAGGCACTGTGCACGCCGTTGGACTGCTGACTATAGTTATGTTACCTGTAAAATTCCATAACTGGTCACGGCACATTCGTAATCACTGTATTTTTTGACCCTGATAAAAAAAAAAAATTATTTTGATGGTGTTCTGGTACTGTAAATGGTGTCCTTTAAATTATTTAATAACTTTTGGGTGTGGGGCAGGAAGAGAGGGATGGTGTCCAGAGACCCCCCCCCACACTTTACATCCTATCTTACCATCCCCTATCTTACCATCACCCTCTTATATCCTTTTTGTTAAAATAAAAAGCATTGTAGCTGTTGGTTTGTGTTGTATTTTCAAGGTCAATGATTACAGTGTGCATCATTTAGGGACTTTGCAAATATGATCCTTGTTCTTAAGATAACTTTCCCTAAAAGGGGGAGAACGAAGTTGAGAGCAAATGAGGTTGACTATTACCCAAACCAAACCCTGAACAGTTGGAATTTCCTTTTCATGTGTATGTAGCTAAATCTATTAATAAAGTAATATGATGAATATACCTACAGAAAGCAAGATGCAAATATAAAGTCATCAGGATGGTCCCTTTGCATTTAACAAAAACGTATCAAGTGCTTAATTTATTAATTACCTTATGCAGTTCTGATCAAGCCCTTTGTGCTTGTACAACCTTTTTCTTTTGCCCCTTAAGTTGATCATTTTTTAAGTAGTAAGCTTGTAAAGCGACACCAAGAGAAGGGATCTGGCAGTTTCTTCATTCGGCTTCTAAAATAGAAAGCAAACGCCTTTTTTTTTTTTTTAAACACAATTTAGAAAATATTTTCTACTTTTAGTGATCTAGAGGGTACTGTACAACCCACAGTCTACCACAAATTTAGGAAATAAACATTCATTCTCTTGGAACAGACTCACCAAAGCCACAGTGAGCCTTCCTCGTTTGGATCCAGGAGAAGTGCTCGTACACCGTGCCGTTAGAACCCACGTGAAAAGAAACAGGATATTAGAATCAACATAATTATCATTGTACTTCATGGCATTTATAGATTTTTTTTTTTCAAAAGAACCCACTGTCCCCTTAGCAAATGTATGAAATACGGGGAAAAGTGGAATCACTGACACCCAGAGAAAACAGTATTCTGGGCTATTTCCTTCTAGGCTCTCAATCTCTTACTAAAAAAAAAAAAAAAAAAAAAAAAAGTGTGTGTGTGTGTGTATATATACACACACACACATTTTATAAATTTCCTTCGTACACAGTTTGATAGCACTTTCTAGTTGCTAGAACGTCATCACCACAACTCTTATAACAAACATGTCTTTGTGCAGCATTGTTCGATGCCAGCTAAATCTAAGTAAAACCTACTTTGATCCTTGCTGTCCTCTCGACTGTAAAATACGTTAGTTGCTCTGTTTGGAAAAATAATAAGCTACTTGACGTAACTACCCATATTGATAGCCTTAGGACTCACTGCAGGTGTTATTTCTATTGTCCCCTCACTCATTCCACAAGTGTTTACTGAGTGCACTTGCACAAATAAGTTTCCCTGTCCCTACCCTCAACCAAACCAGTAGGAACGGGTGTTAGAACATCGCCCTCCCCCACACCTAAAGCTGTCATTCATCCACTGTACAGCTAGAGTGATTATTTCTTTTTAACACACCTGTTAAAAAGCTTTAATGGCTTTGGGGCGCCTGGGTGGCTCAGTCAGTTAAGCGTCCGACTTCGGCTCAGGTCACGATCTCACGGTCTGTGAGTTCGAGCCCCACGTCAGGCTCTGGGCTGATGGCTCAGAGCCTGGAGCCTGCTTCCGATTCTGTGTCTCCCTCTCTCTCTGCCCCTCCCCCGTTCATGCTCTGTCTCTGTCTCAAAAATAAATAAACGTTAAAAAAAATTAAAAAAAAAAAAAGCTCTAATGGCTTTAAAACCTTCTAGTGAATTCTGAGGACAAAGACCAGTCCTCCTGAGCAAGGCCTAAAAAATCCCCCCAGTCTGGGCATACTGTCACTTGCCATCATGCTTATCCTTGTCCTCCACAGCATTCTACCACTTCGGCTTCCTTCTGGTTTTCACTGCCACTGGGCCTTTGCACATGCTACCTTAGTCTGGAAAGTTTCTCCTTCCCCTCTTCAACTAATTCAACTCACCCAAACTTCAGGTCAGCCCAAGAGTCATTTTTCAGGCAAGTGTTCCCCTGACCTCCCTAAATATGATCCTCTATCACAGGCCTCTATCAATTGACCAAGTAGTTCTTTCCTATTAGGTGGCAGGAACTCCATGTTCCTTTTTTTTTTTTTTCAATGCAGAAAATAATGGCCATCTACTCACTACACTGGAAGCTCCATAAGGGCAGAGGCCACATCCGTGTTTTTGCAAAGTACAAGCCTGACCCAGGTGGTAGTTCCATACTTCAATTCCATAACCAATCCCCAGGGTGCTTGTTAAAATGCCTCAGTCCCAGATAGTGATTCAGTAGGGATAGGGGCCTTGGACTCTGTTTTCACAAGCACCTTCCTAAGTCCATATGAAGTCTGAGGGGACTTCCCATTGCTCTAAGGGTTCAAGAGACCTCAAACTCCGTTTAGGTTCCTTATTCCTCACATTTGTCTACACCCAAGCATCCAAGATTTTTAACAGACATAGCTAAGGTCATAAGGGTTAACTTAAATGGGATAAGAAAATTGGGAGGAAGGGGCATCTGGGTGGCACAGTTGGTTAAGCATGTGCTTTCGGCTCAGGTCATGAGCTTACAGTTTGTGAGTTCAAGCCTCACATCGGGCTTGCTGCTGTCAGCACAGAGCCTGCTTCAGATCCTCTCTCTCAACTTCAAGGAAAAAAAAAAAAAAATCGGAAAGAGGCATAATTAGTAACTGGTTCCAGTTATGTGGTTTCCATAACTATTAAACCAACAACCCTCAGCTGATTTCATTACAAGTCCCTGAGGGCTCTAGACAAACTGCCATCCCCAAGCAGGAGAGCTCTGGGAGCAGGGCCTTAGTATTTTCTTGGGAGTCCTGTAGAAAGCCGGCAGGTGCAGCCAGGATACGAATTCCTATGTTAGTTTGCAGTTGTACAAACTACAGGACAAGGACCTAGCCTAAGTAGTCGGTTAACTTGAAATCTTCAAGTACATTTAATAGGCTTATTTTTAAGTTACCACCTGAAGTCTTAAAGAAGCTGCCCATGGCCACCCCGTTCTGGTCCCCACCTGTACCCTATGTGAAATTGTGATCAACCAGTCCATGTGGTTCACAGCCTCCCTCCCCACTAGATGCCACCCACAGCTAGCCAGCCGCTCGGGGGGCAACCCAGAGTCAGAACCCTAACTCTCCTCATACATTAAGGCCTCACTCTAACTCCACCTCACCCAGAAAAACGACTTTAATGGTGACATGGCTGTTCATTCAATCAGCATCTTGCTTGTAAGCTTCAGCCCTACAGACACACATAAGCAGGAAACCTGACAGCTGTGAGGCCCTCTAACAAAGTGACAGACCCAGACTGTTAGCATGAGCAGCTTTCAACTTAAAAAAAAAAAAAAAAAAAAAAAAAAAAAAAAAAAAAAATCTGCAATTTATCAATTGTTTTGCAATACTTTTATTTGAAGGCTCTGTCAAAAATACAGCCTTTCATGAAGTATTTTGAGAAGGAGAGGCATAAGGAAGGAGCACGGAAAAAAGCTAACGTGTCTGCTTCACTAGCTCACGTTCAAGTTGGCCCATCCGTTTACATGCATTTAAATGATGTATTTGAAGCTGAAAGTGCTGTCACAGGATAGGCGTTTGCCCTTGCATCTCCCACACAAATCCTGACGGTGGGGCCTTTTAGGGTCAACGTGGCGGAGTTTTACAGGGCAGGAGCATCTAGTCTGTTTACAACTCTGAAAAACCAAAGTGAGAAGCACATACAAAACATAAACCCATGGTCACTTCCTCAAACTTCAAAGTTATTTTTCCTAGTCCATCCAAACACTTACTGAACACGCTCTAAGCAAGGCCCTGTGCTAATCTTGTTCTGTCTGCACCCCTTCCAGCAAGGGGAGGACAAAGAATAGAGGGTGTTTAACCAGGTGGTCGTGGTCTCATGTTGCATAGGATTCAGTTTGGACTTGTGAACTTTTTGAAATACAGTTATCTAAAAGGAAAGCTCTTCCTGCACTTGAAGGGTGGAGAAGAAGCAAGCATGGGAGAGGAGTCAGACAGACGAGGAAAGCTAAGGTGTGAGGCCAGGGATTAGGAGCAAGCTGTGGGTCAAGCCTGGCACCGGGGGAGGGAGGGGGCAGCTAGGGGAGGGGGGGGGGGGGGGGGGGGGGCTCGGGGGGGGGACGGACCTTGCCCTCACCTCCACCTGCTACAACTGACCCGAATCGGACACTGAAAGCAGTGCAGCAACCACGGAGGTGAGAGTGAGCAGTTAAGGGATCCATCCCACTTTAGAACCTGACCCTGCTCTGCCCCGATCGAAGGGGGTTGACACCATTTTCCCACACTTGGGCTCTCTCCCCCCACCGTAGCGTGTGAGGCTTCCAACATCCAACCTGATTGGAGTGCACGGATTAGGCTGTGTCAACGGACACATCAGGCTCCACTAGCTGTGTGCTAACAGGCAAGTTCAGTCACCTCTTAGATTATCTAAGCCCCTGAGCACAGTGCAGCTTACAGTTAATAGTAAACCAGCAATGTTACTAGTTAGCCCCAGAAAGCTGGGCAGCTTAGATTTACTTGAACAGAAGTCATCCTCCCTTTGCCAGCACTCAGGCAAGACAAACTTTGAAACCCATGCTTCTCCTAAATACCCTAACTTGGGTATGTGCCTCATAAAAAGCATTTGGGCTAAACAGACAACTTTCACCACCTCACGTTAGTAGAGACGTATTCGATTTTTGATCTGCTTTCTCACGTTAGACTGACTGAGTACCAGGTAAGTCAGACCTTCTTCCATGTTGCAGGTGAGGTAATAGGCTCTAAGGAGATGAACAGGACCAGAAGGAAACAAGACCCCAAGACCCCGTTTCCCAGTTGAGTATTATTTCCATAATCTCCACTGAAAAGCAGTCAAAACCTCGGTCACTGGGAACCTAGCCTCCTTATAGAAATACCTTCAAGAAACTACACCCAAACCCTCTACCAACTACCCAGTTCAGACACAAAATGTGAACATTCAATTTACTTGACATGTGATATCCTCCACTCGGTAAGGGTTGTAAGACTTCTGACAAGTTCTGCAGAACTGCTTGAAGTAAACCTGTGATGAGAGACGAAAACACTTAAAGCAAAACCCTCTCGACACTCAATGTCAAAAAGCTGCCAGTTCAGGGGCACCTGGGTGCCCCCATCGGTTAAGCGTCCGACTCGCTTTCGGCTCGGGTCATGATCTCCCTGTTTTGTGGGTTCAGGCCCTGTGTTGGGCTCTGTGCTGACAGCACGGAGCCTGCCTGGGATTCCTGGTCTCCCTCTCTCTCTGCCCCGCCCCGCTCATGCTCTGTCTCAAACTTCAAAAAAAAGCTGCCAGTTCCTTGGTGTTTCTTACCTTGTTGGTGCCCTGCACACACCACACGTAGGCACTTTCCCATCGGATGTTGCAATCCTTGCAGTGATAGTAGCCATACTTCTGCTCTAAGAACTGAGCAAAAAGACAGCAGAGTTTAACCCACAGGATATCCAAATTAGCCTTCATTTCAGAAGCTGCGAAGGATCGGTTTGCTATTCAAAATTGGCAACCGCATTCCAGATCACGGAGGAAAGCAGGCTCAAGGTTTGAATTGGTCTCTCCAATGTAGTAATTGGGGGAGCTAATAGCTTAATCAAGCACAGAAGCAAGCATGAGCCTAAAAATGTATTCCAGATTAGCTTGGTTCATAAAGCAAACCAACTGGCAAGTTGCTAAGTAGGTATTTTCCCTCTGACACGCAAGGGAAAAGCCAAACATCTAGGCTTCTCTAAACCTGGAGATTCTTTAAATCTTTAAATCTTTAAATTTAAATTCTTGAAAATCTTTAAATTCTTTAAATCTCTAAACCTACAGATTCTCTGTAGGATAAAGTCTAATTTTAGAACACACACATGTGAAAGTGGTTAAGCTGAAGAAAAGGAGGAAGATTCTGTGTCCTAAGACACTTTAAAGATGTTCACTCAGAAGTCCATTCTCTGTGCTGCCAGTTCAATTTCCAAACAGGGCTAGGAATCTATTGTGGATAAGCCAGAATTCATATTTAACATGAACTAAAGTAGTACTGCCTTATTCTTAAGCTTCTCCTCTTCCCTCCTGGTGAGAAACAAATTATGAACAAGTGCTTGGAGTCAGACCTTTAAGTGCGCTCTGAAGTTCCTGCCAATTCTACCACAATTTCATAGGTGAGCAAACCAATTTCATAGGTGAGCAGGCCCAGGACAGGTACGACTGAAGATCACACGTGGTTTACATTACACATAGCTTCTGTGTAGCTCCACTCACTCCTCCTCTCTTCCCCTGCCCCCAACAGCCCTGGGCCGACCCCAAAGGAGGCTTCCAGGCCTCTTTCTACCCCTGCCTTTCCACTTCCCAGGGTTACCACGTCCCTCAGCACACGCCAGCTCTTTAGGGTTCAGCTGGCCCTCCAAACCTGCTGCGCTCAGGCCGAAATACACAACAGCCGAAGGCCCAAACGCTTTAGCAGTGTTGAGTTTCTGAATAAGGGTGCTTTCTAGGAGCAAGAAAAAAAAAATCCCAAGGGAGACCATTCATAGCTCTAGCTCCCGGTGGAAGCTTGGAAGATTCAGGCAAGAATCAGGGGAGAGCTGACCAGGCAGGAACCCAGGAAATGACCGTTACGGCTTTTGCCATATTGCATTGAGATAGAGTAGGATCCTTGGGAATCGGTTCTCCCTGCCAGCAAGTTCTCCTTCTGATCTGCTGAGTACCCCTCCTAGATCGTCCAAACGCGAAATCCACACTGGACCACGTGCCCACAGTCAGGGTTTTATACAGTAAATACGCTCAGAATAAGAGTGTTATCAGGGCGCCTCCCTCGCCAACCTGCGGAGCCCACGTTCCACAACCGCCAGCAACAACAATCAGGCCGCACTCCCTGAATTCTGCCGTTGGAGGGGCACCTGCTGCTGGGAGCGGCTGCGAAGAGCCACACAGGCTTGGCGTGCGCCTGAGAAAGCTGGCGCCTCCACGTGCGCGAGCAGCCACCCGGCGAGGGCAGCGACAGGATCCAGGAGGGGACCACACCCCCGGGGCCCTCCCGAGTCAGTTCCCTCCAGCCGCCTGAGCCTCACCTGGAAGCGCGGCCTCTCCTTGGCCTGCTCGGGGCTCCGTGGCGACGACCTCTGGCCCGCGGCGTCCCGGGCCTGCCCCACCGGCGGGGACTGCTCCGGACCCCTGGGCGGGCGCCGCTGGGCCGCCTCGTCACCCCGGGCCTCCCGCGGCTGCAGCCCGGCGCCCGGCGGCTCCCAGCTCTTCCGCCCCGCGGCCTGGGCCGCGTCGTCGTCCCCCTCCTCCTCCTCCTCGGACTGCGACCGTTGGGGCGCCTTCCTCGCCGACCCCTCTCCCTCCTCGGGGCCTCGGGGCCTCGGAGGCGGGGTCCTTCGCTCTCCCTCGGGCGCCCCGGGCCGCTGCTCCCCCGCCGCGCCGTCGGCCCCTTCCAGGAAGGTGGTGAGGCGGCGAGAGGCCACGGGCGAGTACACGGCGACGGTGCGCGGGAAGCGCACGGTCCGAGGGGCGCCGCTCGGGGGGCTGCCCTGTTCGGGGCCCCGG